TGTCCAACGAGTGGCTCAATTGTGTCTACAGGCAGGCATGGAAATTTTCCAGATAAAACGTAGATAGAGTATTCAAATATATTTTATACACGATTCGCTTCAAGACAGACACGTAAACAACAAATTAAATCAAATACAGCATCATTCTAACCAGTAAATGGACAATGTACATATATTCTTCATGTTCTATCACAGGAATTATAATATTGAATAGCTACAGCTGACAGCAACCCTCGATACAGGGATTAACAAGATTTGCCGACTACATACTCCGTCGTAAACTGAAATACCGATCACTAAGTCAGGATATAATCCTGGTACCCTATAATTCACAACTAAATACCAGTTTGGCATTATTCGAATTGTTCCGAATTAACGTTTATCTAAGATAAATGGACGAATTAATTCTTGTTAGTTGAATAAATAATCTGAACAACAGTTCTTTGTTACATATAGAATATTATTTTTCCTATCAATCCACATAGTTTATCTGTATTTACCCGAATAATTGTAATAATTTTGAATAAGTAGGTATTAATTGGTATGACATACCTGTACAATTTTTTATATATTTGCATCGATGGTTAATTAATTAAAGTAAGAAATACATTGCAAAATTAAATGTATTTAGATGTAGATATTAAAAATCTGTCAAAAAATTAATTACAAGTAAATTTAATGAATTCAACGTGCAAGTTATTAAACGATAAATTTGTGTTTCTGTAAAGTACGTGTATTAAGAGCATTTCATTTTGCGTCGTAATTAACAGCTTAATGATAAATTTTAGGATTTAACGACTAAAAAAATGGATTCTATGTGCGAATGTAAAAAAAGTTAAATAATAATGTATAAAACAGCAATGATCTTCGAATAATGAGTAAATCCTTATTTGATTGATTATTTACAACACCTATATAACATCATCAAATAATAAAAGTATGCATATTGATCGAAATTAAACGTATCTTCCTTGATTACAAATTTTTATATTTTCGATGTGCATTTATCCTATACATCCTCATCTTAAGATTTTATCTAGAGTCAGAAAATGAGAAATTCAATAGTGAAAAAATAGATTATCCACGCGCATGTGCATACATAGTTAGTTCTATTCTTTTAGAAGTAAAGTGAGTCTTCTTTCGATTATCAAACAAGGATTTTACTCTTCTGGGACGAGTCCAGTCTCCTTCCAATTTTTAAAGTAACTATTACTTCGCAAATCTCCAATCGTATTTTAAACAAACTCTTTACGTTAAGCCAACTTTAATCTTTAACTACAATCTAAATCTTCTTTCATTTCCTTTATAATTCACGTTTAATTTTCAACACTCTTCTCATAAAAATTTGTAAACAGACTGTAGACAATTACAATACTATTTGTGTATTCGGTTACTCTTATATGCAGTGACGTTCAAAAGTTCCTGGCTAGATCGCTTTTGGAACTTTTCATACGCAATAAAGTCTTTAAGACCTTTCTATTATTGTAACATATAAAGGACATATTGCATGAGAGGGTACTGTAAAAAAGTCAACACCATCTGTTTTTTATACATTTTTGTTTTAGAAATAAACAGTTCATGTTCAACGGTTTTCGGCCGGAGTGTTTAAAAAAAATCATGCTTGCTTTCTATTATAATAATAGTTTAATGCATAGTATTTAACATGTTACACTTAATATTTTGTGACCATACCCTTTGCATTAATGAGAACGGAACATTAATGTGATCTGGATTCAATTCCAAAAACGATCTAGCGGGGAATTTTTGAACGCCACTGTAAATAAGTACATACTATCACGCTTTGTCAACTTGATTTTACGCTCGAATCAATTTTACTTTACCGTTACTTAAACGAAACATTACTTTCAACTTAACACTTAGGCATTCTGCAAAGTCTCGTAAAAGATTCTGTATCTTAACCAATTTTCTGTTGTGGTCCAAGCCAGCGATGTACTTACGCGACGCGTCGCAACGACACAATGCTTGACCCAAATAGACTAAACCCGCATCTAACCAAATGTATATTACCTTCGTATAATCCAGACTTAACTTTAATCAAATCTGGGTTTAACCTAAACCTTCGGATGCAGTAACTTAATAAAAACTTCATTACCCTTACTGTCCTTACTTTCTTACCATACAGTTTGAAACAAGATTAACTGATGCTGTTTTGAGAATATAAATAATGTACATGTATTCATTAAAAATGTGAATGACAAGCACTTAATTTTTACCTATAATAAATGATTTATAACAGATAATTGTTTCTCGTAATAGATATTATAAATAGCATTACACTTTGGATATTTTATATATTTTCCTGTATCGTGTGTATTCTGTGCAATTTTCTAATTTCGAATTTCCTATAAATACGTAAGAATCTGTAATCCAATGAGACCAGTTTCCATAGAACATACTGGGTCTGCTAAATGCTGCTACTTTCTTTAACACTAAAACTACCGAGCAATTAAATTGACTTTTCGAAATTCCTTTATAGAAACTCCAAGCGTGCATGTATTGAGATTTTAATTAATTTACTATTCAGTTTTCGTACTGCTAAATCAATTTCTTTAGCACTAAAACTATCGAGCAATTAGAATGACTTATTTCCAATATCTTATGAAAATTAGAACAATACGTTTCTTGTGATTCGAAGGGTGTTCTAGTTTTATATCTCTACAAATACTCGAATAAAGCTTCCAAAAAACGCTTTTAAAAATTGAAATACTTGAAAAATGAAAATTCTGAAGTTGGTCAATTTGACCCGTACCCTAGTTTTAATGTTAATCATTTTTCAGAGAAACATCTGTTATCTTCTTAATAATTGCGGAAAGAAGACATCAGGAATGGGTCATTTTGACCTGTCTGGTAGTTTAAGTGCTAAATGATTTTCTTTGTATGAACAACACAAAAAACAAATTTCTTGCTAGTCACTCGACATTTTTTTCTATTATATGTTAAATTTGATGTCGTTAAGTATTTAATTTATTTACAAAATCATATTACATACTAAGAATTTTAATAAAACGTCAAACTTTTATTCATGAAGATTCCAGGATTCAATAACAACTCAAATGAATTTCGAAACGTGAAGAAATACGTTTCTTACTACTGTAAAAGGTTATCTATCAATTCATCAACAAACGTTTCGCTATGGGTTGCTTGACGCAAGAGAAAATTGAAATCCTTTTTCATTTACGTTGGAGTAAAGAAATAACAGTGTCTAAAGGAAATAGGTTAGATGTACGGAGAAAGATTTCCTGAGCAGTTGTCCGTCACATTTTCCGAGGCAAATATTAAAACCTTTTCTAAAGCTGGTAATGTTAACATAAAATCAGTGTGAAATCTGGAATTGTTATAAGCGAAACAATTTGAAGATATGTCGTAGCGGAAATTCGTAAAAATTCACATATTAATGTAACGCAACTTGCAGTATAAACGTGAAATTGGTACCTAAAGTATAATGCGGATTTTGGATGCAAAAGAATTTCACTTATTTTATCGGATTGTAACATAAATAACTTTGATCATATTTAATATTTTCTTTCATTTATTAACGAAATACAAAATTGCATTCGTGCATAAAATATTTAAATTGTATAATCTGCATAATTATTTATGGTGATTTTTCATTGTAAAAGACTCAGTATATTACAACCTAATGTTTATTTGTATATTATAATAAAAAATTAATTTGCTTATTAGGTATATTATCATTACGTTATATTTAATTATTATATTATAATAAATTAGAAAGTAAATTAATGTTTTTGTGAAATATTGAAATGATAAACATGTTTCTTCACAGAAGTATTGTTAATAGAACAGATATATCTTTTATTGATTATAAATTCAAACGAATCCACGAGATAATCATTATTAGAAAAAAAATCGAAGAAAACTTAGATATAGTGATAAACAAATCTGTTTTGATTAAAGAATAAATAGACGTACTATATTTTATCTGTATGATTATCTAGCACGTTATCAACGTATTGAGGAGAGACTACGAAGGAAAAATTTCAAAACTATTCAATTCGATCTAACAGCTGTATATTGCACATATAGTATGTCACGTTTATAATGTTATTTATTGATCAGTTTAAATTAGTCAAATTAAAAGAAATGTTTTTCAGGTTTCTTTTCTATAAAATGCAGGTAAATCAAAAATACATATGAAGCATATAATATTTGTTGTTACCATTATTATAATTATTACTTTACATTGTAATACTACTATTATATCATTATTTTACTTTTACACTATGATAAATTCTAATGAGTTTCATGCATCAATGACAATTATTTTTATATTTTCATGAAATTATGTTTGAAACGTAAAAAGACGTTACCAATTTATCAATAACTATCTACTTTTAACTGACATACGAACAAATATATATATAGAGTATCAAAGCTTGCTATTATTTAGTTTAAAATTTTTTAAAATTGACAAAAGTAGTCTACACTTCTGTAGCTGACTGTACACCGGCGGAAAATATGACGGGACGAATAATTAGAACTTGCGCTGATATTAAACCCGAAGCTATTGGAAGAGCTGTGCAATCATCATTACTCGTTTTAGAAAATGTCCCGCTGCTAACAAATACCGAATCAAACATTTATGGAAATAATAAACCTGTTCAAATTAAATTCTTCCTCCATCATTTTAGGAGGTAGAAGTCTTGTTTGCTTTATAAAACAGTTTGAAATGTACGTGAACATTTTTCGTATTATTATTGCGAGAAAAGGTAGTTAAAATATCTAAATAACCAATTTCAGTTCTGGTATCTTATTATCAAAATTACAGATCGTATATGCTACATCGTATATGCTAAATACGTTGTAAGGTATCATTTTATTATCTGGTTTTGCTGCAGAAAAGGAAAAGCCCTGATTTTACAATAAGTACAATAGAATACCTGCAGGGATTGCGGTATAAACTTAAGCTTCGAATATTTTTAACTTAAACCTCTCAGTCGAATAATTTCTGCTTATAGGTCACGCTCTCTATCTCGATCCTCATCAGTCTTCACGTGTTCTTCCTGCTGGTCGTCGAGATCATTCCACCTACGTCGCTGGTCGTGCCGCTGCTTGGAAAGTACCTGATATTCGCCATGATACTTGTCTCGATAAGGTAAGTGTCCGAAGAATCTTCGAACTAACTCGAATATTCATTATAACGCATATATAGAGATCTAGAACGATTTTCTGCAATTGTAAGAAGAAGTATTCTTACTTTTTTCTTTCTGAAGAAAACCTTAAAACTCACATCCTGTTGTATATTTTACCAAGTATATGCATTTTATTGGCAATATATACAGTGAAAAGAAACTTAAATTTTTTTCTTAAAAAAGTATTGTTCCACTAAGTAATAGTATTCATAAAAAATCTTTTACAGTAACCAAGTTGGAATATTTGAAAGTTGAAAGCATTCGTGAAAATAGTAATGTTAATTTTATTGAATAATTATGTATTTTTAAATTCTCGAAGACAAAGAAGGGAATAAAACAAAAGAAGGCAAACTTAAATTTCTATTAACGTTTTTTATGCCACCTTCATTTAATCAAAATTAATGAAATTAAAATTAATTACCGTTACGCTTACATTTAATCAAAATGAATGAGATTAAAATGAATTGAATTGAATGGAATTAAATATATATTTACATCTACGAAGATTTAATTAATCAATGTGGAAAAAGAAAATAATGAGGGCATAATTGGAAAAAAGAACACAAAGGAAATTAAAACATGAAAATTGGTTATATCAGCGGAAAACTAAGAAATTTCCGTTCGGTTGTGCCGATGGTTATATCTTTCTCCAAAGGAAGAAGATATGGTCTATCTTTTCCACTTCGATTTCCTGCTATTCGTCGTTCCGGCTTCCAAGCGGTTTCCTTCTTCTTATCAACATTTCGTGTCACATGTCGCATATCCATCTCCCCGTCACTTTAATGGCGCAGCGACATCCACTCGTTGGATATCGAACCGCGAAACTTGACGTGGCGAATGCACCCGATGCGCCGGATTTTACTCTGATTATTCTACTTTCTATGCGTCCGATGTTTCCGGCGATAACGTGGAACAATCTAGCCCTGATTGGCCCACATAACTTTTAACAAGATTCCGCGGAACTCCCGGTGTAAAAGGGCTTAATCTTTATTGTTCGCGAAAGTGTACACTATTACGTAAAGGATTTTATATTAATTCGCGAATATCCAGCGCGATAGAATTCTCGATTGATAATGAAGAAGATTTGAGTAATTTAATGATAATTTGAATGAACTATGATTTTACTAATGCAAATAAAGATTAGAAATTAGTAAATTTTACAATTTGCGGTAGGAACTATGGAAATTATTAATTAGAATTTCTTCTTCTAATAGAGGTTTATTAATTTTACTGCTATTTGTGATTCTATTTATCGAATTTTCAATTTGTATATCACTGTCAAGATTTCAGTATGAGTTTCGTCGGGAGTATTTAAAATTGGACGATAGAAACTGTTGAATTTTAGTATTGCAGCCTATATTCAAATTTGACCGTATAGATTTGAATTTAAGATTCGATATTGGAATTTAAATGTGAATTTTAATCGCGGTGTTTGAATTTGATTGGCGATGCTGAGAACTTGTATCTGAATTTAGTTACAGAAGTTTTATTTAAGTGTTACAAGTTTACTTGGAATATGCATTTAGCTATTGAATCTCAATGTCAAATCTAATTATATTTTAATTTTTATTATTGATAAATTAAAACCGATAAATTCTCTTTTAGTATTAATAAGAATATAACATGAAAATTGTAGGAATAAGTTTCGATGATTCTTTAAACGGAGAAATATTTATTTCAAAGGAAATGAAACTGACATTAAATGCATCGATATATTACCCATTATGAAGGAATCTTCTAAATATTACACTCCATTATCGAACACTATAAATATTTTACCAAAAACGAATTTCATATTTCTTCATAAAAGTAGAATCAATATTGTTGTATTAATTTAAGATTAACTTTACATCGTCACATAGCATCATAAATTAAAGCAAAATAAGCTATACACATAACAATGGGTATTTCTTCCATAGATTTCGTAGCGGTAGAAAATAACCTGTACATATATTCTGTACTTTATATAAGGAATACAATTTTCATAACATATTTGTACAACGACGACTGAGCAACGAATGAATAAAACAAAAGTCGTTCCTATTGTAATACATATCCATCCTGCTGCTATGCTATCTATGTAACATATCGGTTGTAATCTTTTAACACAGCAAACATTATACTTTTGTGTGTGTGTGTGTATTTTTATCAACAATAACTTAAAAAAACTAAATACATCAGTAAACATCTATGAACTATTATAGTTCATTCAACATTAACATTAGGTTTACGGAACGCGTCAATTTGACGCATATCGAATTTTATAAACATTACTTGGCAAATGATTAGGTCGATTTCGATTGACGCAATTACACGAGTATGTATCTTAATTGTTTATGTTTCAAACTCCGAGTTTCGAGATCTGAATGAACGAACATCATTTTTTCTAGAAATAATAGAACAAAATGCACAATAAACGCCCGTAAACCTAGTATTAAGATAATTCCTTTCATAATAATTCAAGTAGATACATCTTTCGAATACTTGTTGAATTCCCAAAATTCTCGTCATTGAAAGGTGCATGCTAACGTCCAAAGTCGTAGAAGACTTCTCAGAGGCATTAATAGCTGCTTGAAAATTTAACAAGCGATAGCTAAGGCCGCTAATTCGTCGAAAAATTCAGAGATTAGAGGAATAGCAAATACTGTAACGGAAGATACTGGCCATCCGTTTGAAAAATTAATGTCAAGCCAAAGCTATGGAAGCATCATCGCATTCGTTCTGCCCATGTGTCCGTGTTTACTCTCCTTTTAACTTTCTACGTATCTGAACTCATGCATTTAAAGATTCATCTGCAGCTCGACTTCTCGGCATGTGGTCACCACGCCAGTAACTTCCAAAAAATTTACCCGTGGGCACGGAAAGGAACAGACGCTTACACATTAGATCTTCCTTTGATCCAGGTGTAACGGCGAGTGGATAACACGGCGCGCTATGTTTTGACGGTGAACGAAACTTTCGACTATATCATATCTAGCGATCTTCAGGGCGAGTTTTCGGTTTGTCAGAAATCTTGCACCAGTGAAATAGAAATGTTGGTAGATACTGAAAGGTAGTTAGTAAATTAGTGTAGGGTTATTTCGGGGGTGATGGTCACTTTAGTTATCTCGTATAAATAATTGATTGAATTTCTATTACAATTGATTTTTTTCGGAATTTTAATAGCTTAGAAATCAAATCTGGTATATTAATTCTTTTAGTTATTTAACCCTTGGAGCACATTTGACGTATGAGAAGATCATATATTTTTCTCGCCAAAATCTCAAATGACGTTCTGATACGTCATTGAAATTGTGATAATATTTAAAATGTTCATTTTTGCTTATTCGAGAGTAATTTGTATCAGTTGCAACAGAAAAAATAATTTCAGTATTTTTGCGAATCTTGTTTTTGATACACTGCCTCATAATGTCAAAAATAAGTAATATATTCTATTAAAATGCAACAATTTTTTAAAATAAATATGCACCCAAAGGGTTGAATGTGATTCGGAGAAAATATTAAGACACAGTTTTCGTGTTTGTATTGAGTAATTTAATACTTTGATTTTTCTGAAAATATTGTATTTCTTTTTCTATTGAATGGTTCCTTTCGAATTAACATTTACCGAGTGTCTATATTACATGCATATTGCTTCAACTATCCTGACTGCGTGTTCTGAATGTGTACATCTCCATGGTCCATTTGTATGATTACCCAGATTCGACAACAAAAACCTTTTGTTTTGCCGTTGAATATCGCGATGACGCACTTTGATGATTAGAACATCCTTTGAGAACTTGCATTTCGATAAGATCCGAAGAAACCGGGCTGCGATATATGAATGTCACTTGAAGGCAACAAGATTACTTTATTTTTCATTCGTTTGTTCTATGATCATTTGATAAGCGAACAATGTAAAGCTTATCACTCTAATGCTTTTCGAAGAATTTCATACAAAGTGTAATAATTTAATAACCTTATTATTAATTTTAATTCTTTAATCATTTAATAAAGTATTTTATATATATTACGTACTACTTTAAAAACGTTTTGTACGAGTAAACAATTAAAAATATTTACAAAAAAGTTTACTGTTAGCAGATACTTAATGCTTCTGCGAACATCTGCAGAACGAAATTTCATATGCAAATTCATTTTCGTTTTCTGTGGAAATTAACGGTGAATGTCTATGTATCTTTTAACCTTTTGAGTACTAAGCGGCGCAATCGTGCTTCTCCGTTACACTGTGTAAAAGTGCCACCCTGTCGTAGAATCGAATTAAGTTTATTTATTTGTTTTCCTTCTAATTATTTGTGTTTATTTTTCTTGTTACTTACTTAGAAATAGAAAAATGGAACGATCGCGCTATTTACAATTTGTTAATGTAATAATAGAAAAGCGTAATTCAGTTTCTAAACTGAAACAAACGAAAGGAGCACGATCGCGCCGTTTGGCTCTTTTCGGCCGGATTTTTGCAAAGACCCGTGGCACTGAAACGGTTAAGACGTGTAAGTGAAATCACAAGGACAATATAAATTTAATGCACTTAACATGAATTTCAACTTATAAAAGCTTAAAATTACGGGGACTTTATAATTTCTTTCATATCAAAAATTTGTTGTGTTATTCATTATTTCCGATGAATAAATTGAGTAATTAATTAATCGATACTTCAGAAAGATATTCCAAAATGTGTTCTGATTTCAGTCTCTTAAAAATAACAACACCAATAAAACGTCATACATACTGAATAAAATAAATTCGTTCAGTATTCTTACTTCACAATTTCTGTATATTAATTTTACAACAATCTATGTCAAGAATTATTCAATGAATGGATATGAAAAGGAAGAATTATTGAGAATTGGAGTGTAACTCGAATATCAAGTTAATTCGTCATTTTCAGTTAATAAATTTAAGCTTACTCTTTTTTATTAATCATTTCTAGGTTACAATAATTCTAGGTAATAGAATTAATCTC